ATCAGGTTACAAGTCTTCATAGCTCAAGATACAAAGGCTAATGGAGATAAAGCAAACACTGCCTATTACTGGCCAAGGCTTCACAACCTCAGTTCTACTGACATTTTGTATCACATAATTACTTGGTTATGGAGCCTGTTTTGTGTACTGTAGATGTTTAGCAAATTTCTGTATGAGGACACACACACACACACACACACACACACACACACTAAGCACCACTAAAAACTAGAAACTGATTGTAGTCAGGTGATACATTTTTAACTTACAAAGATGAGTTGTCTCCACAAACAAAAATCTGTGTTTTGCATGTTCATAAGTATTTGGGTATATATATTATCATATGTATTTAGGTTAATGTATATTTTTGTAACGAAATTTGTTTTCAATGCCAACAGCAATATAGAAAAAAACATCATGGCAAGCAAAATTGTATTCCAAAACTTCATATATTATTATAAAATAAACAATGTAAAAATATTAAAAATATATCTGCATTCACCAAAAGTAAAAATGCAAACAAACAGGGTATAGCTCAGTGGTAGAGCCCTTGCACAAAGTTCTGGGTTCAACCCCCAACACAATAAAAAAAAAATGTATTGTGTGTTTGTGTATAAATAAATATGCATGTGTGAGTAGTTACATAAATAAGCACTATGTATATACAGTGATCATGATTTATGAATTTTTCCTTGCGTTTTTCATAACTTCAAATAATCCTCTCGGGAAAGTATGAGGCTGAAACCATTTTAAAATTTAACTCTAATTATCTATTGCGAGAATATATTTATCATCCCATATATTAGGAGACAGTATCTCCAATTTGCTAAGTCCAGTAACTTTGTTTAGAAACAAGAATGCCAGCAGCTTCTTGGATTTAACAGTGAGAGGTTAAGCACACTGTGGTTCTGTGAAAGTTAACTGGAGTCTTTCCATTGCATTCCAAAGAAAGAATGAGCAAAACTGAAGTCAGGACCTACAGTCACTTGTAACAATGTTGGTGCTAGAGACTGCTGGATCCTACAGCTGTGGTGTTTAAATTGGTGATCTGAATGATGAAAGGAAAATAAAGTTAAATGGATTGGGGGAGGTTGCGACTATTTATTGATTAAATTTGCATTTGTGCTCACTTGCTGGAAACTACTTTAAATTTAAGTACTCAAACACTGTTCTTTTTTATGTATACATAATAGCTTCATTGAACAATTTATAGCTACATTTTGCTTTACATTCCATTTTAGATGCAGATAGTTGGACTGAATAAATTTAAAGTGTAATTGAGTGACCAAAGGATAAAAACACCCTCTGCTGGCTCCAAATAGTCCAGTCTGTCATTAAAGTAAAAATATGAATTCACACACAGTGGGGGAAAAAAAAAAACAGGTTAATGGAATAAAAATTTGTCTTCCTGCTTTACACTGCCCTCTGTCTTCTAGCCCACTTGCCAGAAGACATTTCAAGTGCAATTCCCCAGAAAGTGGCAGTTAATAGGCTAATGGGCATTACCATTCTTGTCAGCCAGCTGATTCTATTCAATCTATGCCTACAAAAATTGTGTTGTTGTTAATATACATTTCTTGCCACTAAATGGAAAAGGTCAGGTGACTTGCTAAGCTGAGGAGGAGCAAGCAAGGTTGGTTTCTAAGACTATTTCCTAAGTACTGTTTTGCCATCAAGATTCACAGTGAGACAGAAGTGCTTTTCTGAAGTTCTAGTAAAAAACTGACCATACGTTTTGAAATTGTGAGCTCATTACTATGTCATCAATCAATTCAACATACTTTAGCCACTGTATTAGCTATACCAACAAAAGTATGTTATAGTGACATCACAATGTATGTAAATCTAACTGGCCTAAACCCATATGTAGTAATAAAACAGAAAAAAAAATAATGGCAAAACACTGGGGTACTTAAAAAAAAAAAGCCAAAATCTTTCAGACTGTCCATAATAACATTCACTCAACTCTTCCATACATATGTACAAACCCCTACACAGAAAGAAATCTAGAAATTTATTTTGTTCTTTTATGAAGTTAGTTAAAAATTAATGAACAAGAAATTAAGGAGAAAGCACTGCAATAAAGTTGGAATATTCAACTGAAAAATAATTCCTGTGAAACTATCTACACTCCCATAGAATTATAAACATTTTTCAAAAATATTTTACAGCATATTTTTTAAGCAATGTTTTCTTCTTACTGTTGAGACTTAAAACAATGAAGGTTTATTTCACATTAAAAATACACTTACTAGAGCAAGCACTCACCTTTTTCAGAAAAGGGTTTTGCATTTAGAGCAGCATGCTAATGCTTATACTGTTCAGATACATCTGTGGTTCATCTTTCAACTTTGGGTTAGTTTTCAACAATAAGTAATAGAACATTGTGTTGAAATAGTATTATTATTTAATTCTGGAAGCATAACCAATTGGGCTTCCGAGACAAACATTCCCTGTACAGAACTGGACACAGACCAACAGTCTGAAAATATGTGCCATTCTTTTTCACTCTTCTCATCACACAGACCTCAAAACACATTTATATTTCAATGAAGCAGTGAAGAGCAACAAGCTTGATTATCAGCCCTAAAAAAAGAGATGCTTTCTAAAATTAAAGTTACCTTTCCAGTTTCATATATTTAAATGGGCAAAACCTCTAACTCAGATAACTTTAGGGCCTCCAATAAATACTCCCCTCTGTGGCTGAGGCCTTCAGCCTGACAAACCTGCTGAGTTGTGCAGATGTTGAAATGGCTCTTGGCTACACAGGGGAAGAAACAAGCAGGAGACATTCCGCAGCTGCTCAGGCAGCTCCTTTCCCAGGGGCACAGTTGCAGGCTCTATCAAGCTCAATCACTTTGCAGAGCACCCGGGAATCCCAGGCAGAGGCAAAGAAACCTCACAGCAGCTTAAATTTCTCCTAGCACCACTGCAAGGAGTAATATTCCTTAAGGAATAAGCAGTTATTTTCAACATTACATGGCTTTTGGCCAAAAAAATATATGCACGTGGGGGAGGAAGGGTGATGAGGGAGAACATCTGTAGTGAGAGAACATAAGATGTTTCATATTTCTAAAATTTCAGGCTACTGACAGGAGATCTTCCTTGAAACTTTGCTACATAAACCACTGAATATTTGACCTTTGTTCTCAGTAACAGTTTCTTTGGGTGGTGGGAAGAGAACAGCAAAGATGAAGAAACACAGAACTTAACAGTTAACTCGCAACTGCAACACAATACAACCACTCTAAAGTCTTAAAGGGCTGAAATGTGTACGGCATGTTTAAAGGCTCCATGCTTCAGTTTTACATCAGCAGACAGTCTCAGTTCTCTCACAAGCCCTTTTGAAAGCCTGAAGTAACTGTATTGATATGGTGACCAAAACCAAGCAGCCAAAGATACTCTCCACCTGAGGTTAAATAATGTTGTGGCGGATGCCATTTTCTCAGGATAAACCAGGAAGTGGGGCCACAAACAACCACTCTGCTAAACCACAGAAGCACACAAGTCCTGTTGCCACCAAATCGTACTTTTGTGGGAAGCGTCCTCCTGCAGGGAGTTAAGATGTGTTATAGACACACATGTACTTTTTACAATAGCTGTGGTTATTACTGTTACTTGGTCACATAAGCACTTACAATAATTCACCAAGTATGGCAATAAAAAAAAAATAATGATGTTAGGGCCTGGAGAAATGGCTCAGCAGTTAAGAGCACTGGTGACTCTTCCAGAGGACCCGGATTCAATTCTCAGCAACCACATGGCAGCTCACCACAGTCTGTAACTATAGTCCAGGGTATCTGACACCCTCACACAGACATACATGCAGGCAAAATACCAATGCACAAAAAACAAAAATAGGTAAATTAAAAAAAATAATGATGTTCATGTTTATTCTGGACTTGGGACAAGGAAAGCACGTGCTGGGTTATCTCACTTGATTCTCCCGGCAATATCATCCAGATTTTATAGTGAAGAAATTATTATAATAGCATGAACTAATAAATAATACAGTCAGGATTAATTTCTTTATTCTAAGGCTATGCTCTGGTTCTTATGTTTTACTGGTTGTAATGAAAATGACATTTTAGCATTAATTTGGAACTTGTTAAGTATTTTAAACATCAATTTTAAGGATTTATATGATAGTTATTACTTTGCTTGCTCAGAGAAAAATATCCTCTGCATCTACATTGTTTGTAATGTTCTTTTCCTCTCCACTGATTTCTTTTAATAGGCAGAGAAAGGGCAATCTCAACCCAGAGGGCTAGTCACATATTTCTCAGTGCTGTTACAGACCAGGATTCTAAATTTCAGATGATTATTTTTCTGTTTTTAGAAAGCATACAGTCAAGGAGCCAATAGGTAATTAATTCTGCTGTAAAACAGCTACTGAAGTATAACAACGCTCCATCAGGCCTGAACTTTTAAAGTAAGAAAACCTTTTGATTTCCTACTTATGATAAAATACCATTTATAAAACATTCCTCAAGCCTCAGAGACCTTTGTTTACAGTTGAGCACTATTCTTCTAAGACAATGCGATGCACCTCAGCAGGGAGGACCACAGAGCAGAAGGCTGGTGACATATGGGGTGTGCACGGAACTTCTGGTAAATGGAAGTTCCAAGATGTTAAAAAAAAAAAATGATGTGTGCGTTGGTGGAAAAAAACTGTAAGGCAAGTCAATGCTTTTAATTAAAAAATTATGTAGCATAAACAATGCTAATGAGCCAAAAGTCCCAAGAGATGGGGATTGTATCTGCTTCATTTTAAGGTCCCTTTCACTTTTCATAAGTGTGCACCCTGTACTTGAAATGCCTCAAGCAGAAACCTTTTCATAAAATAGCTCTGAAGTTTCTTTGTCTTAATAGCTCACCATTTCCTACTCAAATTGTCAATTTGATGGCAAATTACACAAACACACACACACACACACACACGCATACACGGACTCTGAAGAGCCACAATGTCTTCCAGTGCATCACCACAAAATAGATACCTGGAAGTTCTTCATAAATTTCATCATCTATTGGTTGGTTCCTCGGTGGGCTGCTGACTGGAACAGGATGATCGACATCATCATATAATTCTCCTCTTTCGTCATCATCCTCGGGAATAACATCAGATCCCATGTCTTCAAAGCACATTTGTGAAGCAAATTTTAAAGGAAGACAAAAACAACTTAGGACTATATCTCTGAGAGGAACACATCTCTACAAATAGCTACATGCTATCACTCTACTCTTAATTTAAAGCATTTTTAAATGGTTTTATAAGTGCATGAATCTTAAAGTTACCAACTATATTCAAGGGAGGATGCTTTCACAAAGCCAAGGGAATAGGCCATATTATGCCAGTCAGTGTTCTCTTGCTTATTCTCACAGAAGTCAGGAAGGCTGAATATGTGAAAACCCAAGTCAACCTGTTACTAAATTAATATTTAAGGATCATGAAAACATATTCAACTGATGCTCTTACCTTGTAATATAAATTTCAGCTGCTGGACCCATTCCTCAGCATCTTTGGGAGAGGCTGCTGTAAACTAATGAAAAAATTCAAACAATAAGAACTGAAATTGTCATGGCAACACAAAAGGTATGCTGCATTCTTATCATTTCTTAGAACATTAGTGATTCTTTTCATGTCTAGGGGTACTCTTCTTGCAAGGATGCTTCTTATAATGTACAGTTAATTTTGACAAATTTATGTAATTGAAGCAGAGGATGATGGATTTGAAACTCTGATCAGCAGCTGGCAGCTGCACAGGGAAAAATGCTGCTTCTCTTCATCAATGTCAAAGGCAGAACTGATGAACAAAATTTGCCCTTGACAATTAGAAGACACCCATGAATTTCTTTAGACTGCTGGGTATAGTTTTCTTAAAAATGTTCTTGTCAGATTCCAACACACTACCTGACAACTTAATTAACTGGCTTTCAACTGCAATCTCAGATATTTAAAACTTATTAAACATACATTCCATATTGATGCCTAGCTGATGGCTCTTGAATTGTAGAGCTGATAATGCGTCTTTATCTTCATTTTCGCCCACACCCCTAAGCAATACAATATGTATTAATACTCTAATAGTTTTCCTTGGATGATTTTATTCTTTCTGCTATATGATTCTTTTAGGAAATCACACATTTCTATTAAAGTAGATATAACATGTTACATGTGATGTAACTGATAAATTACAAATTCACTTCATTTTTTGCAAGGATATATCACTTGAACTGATCAGAAAAAATTTAATGTGTTTCCTCTTTATATGAATGTTCAATGTACAAAACAGCATTTTTATTATTAACATGTCAGGAAAAGATGTTTTAATAAAATGTTAATGTCTCCATAAATGAAATCAGAACATATTATCAAGTTAATTTCAAGGCAACATAAAAATTCCAACCTGATAGATACGTTTATCAGGAGCACAGATTTCAAAACAGCAATCTTTCTTTCCATCCTTTCTAAGGGTGTTATTCAATCTGACATCATAGCCATCTATTGCAAATTCACCTTTCTGCTGTTTGTCTATAAAAGATGAAAAGCAAAGTTAGCGTTTCATTCACTAAGGTGAACACAAATGCCTGATTACCTCTTAGTGGTAAGTTTCATGAGGTCCCATTTATTGATTGTTGCTCTTAGAGCCTGTGCTGTTCGTGTTCTGTTCAGGAAGTTGTCTCCTGTGCCAATGAGGTCAAGGCTCTTCTCCACTTTTTCTTCTAAGCGGTTTAGTGTGTCTGGTAAGTCTTTTTTTGTCACCTCTCTCAGGAGAAATTTTAGTCAGTGACATTAGCAATTCTAAACTATGGACATAATAGGAACTAGAGAAAGAGGTCTGTGGATGGTGGTGGCGTTCAGAAGGAAGCGTGGAAATATGCAGGGAAAAATAAATCTAAGTGCTAGAATTTGAAATGTACAAGAAATGTTAACTTCAGAAAGACAATGGTAAAACTTGTCTAAACTTGCTAGACTTTCTTATTCACTGTAATGTCCTTCTTTCAGAAACATTATTAAGAGGAGCCTGTTCAGCCATTCAGCGGATCGGGAAACTGGAAAAAGCAGACCTGGACCTCCTATGGTACTGTCTAAAGGAAACATGGCTTCAGTTTGGTCAGATATTATTTTAAAGATAAATAAAATAGAACAGAAACAAAAGATTTAATACTCTGAAACTAGGAAAATTGACTTTCTTCATTCAGTTGTGTCATTTTGATAGAAAAATCTACATAGCAGTAGGTTTATTTCCCACACTAACACAACACTGAGATAGGAAGTGGGGAAAAACTGTCTCACTGAGCTCAGGGTAAGTATATAAATGCTTCCATAATTAAGGGCCAACAATAAAATATGTATCTTTTTTTCTTAAATACATTAATTTAGCACTTGAAATAACATCACTTTTTAAAGGCCATGAGATCATATGTTCCCCAAAATATCAAATGAAAAAAAAAATAAGAATAAGGCAGACATAACCTAAGCCTGAAAAACCTATTTAGTCCAATTAAACATTTTTTGAACTTCACTTGGATGAAAAATTCCATACTTAATTATAAGTTTTACAAAACTATGCTTTGAAAATTGCAGGCCAGATGTGTGCTTGTAAATCAGCAAGGGACTCAGGGCACGAAGATCCTGAGTTTGAGACCAGCTTAGAGTACAGTGGAAGATCCTGCCTCAAAACAGAAAGTAAGGAGAAAGAACTTTCCAATGTGTGTTCCTTTAGGTATCGGGGGATTCCATGACCATATATGTTTAAGTTGTGCTCTGCTGAACTGAACATGGTTAGTGCAGTTGGGGATGTACTTCAATGGCAAAATATCACTTACCATGCACAGGATATCCTCAGTACTAGCAAAACCAAAAGTCAACAATTTCATGAGTCTACATTATATAGACATGCCTTTCTTGAGGCCTTTAGCGTATTTACATACTCACTCAATTTCTAAGAGAAAATTTTAACATGCAGCATGTACAAACATGACTCAACTATGAAACTCTTTTATCCAGAGAACAGTTTTACACATCTGGTGCTCTCTAGACATAGCTTGTAAAATACCTAACTGGAAAAATACTGAAGAGGGAAAACAGTAAGTGGTTAAACACATCCATTCTTCTATCACTCTCATAGAAAACTAAACTATTCATTCATGCAACAAATTTTTATTAAACACTTTAAACATACCTGGTAGTGTTATGAGTATTTCGAGACAAAAGTTATGAATAGCACGCTTTATCAAATATTTCTCACCAACATAAACATACATGCATTACAAATGTAGGTATTCTACAAATACCAGTCAATGATCCACTTACACTGCAAGAAGAATTTAATTGGCACTATAAAATTACGAAAAAAAAAAAAAAAGAAGAAGAAGAAGAAAGAAAGTAATATGAGGCAAAACACTGAAGTGGTCCAGAGAAATCTTGAAAGATTCACCCAGAGAAACAAGATTTCAAAGGCCAGACCTAGATGAAAACTGTTCCCCACTCCAAAACCTCCAGTCTCCATTCGCCACCAGAGCATGTGCCCTCTACCCCTAACCTGACTCTGAAACTTCATCCTAACATGAGTGATGCTGAGATGTGTGAGGAAGAGGGAGTCCTGCTGGGGGTGTGAAGTCAGCAACACAGAGAGGAGCTGGGACAGGGCATGATTCCGCCCATACTAGGATGCCCAAGGATAAAACAACCAAAACCAAAATCATGTGACCCCAACCTATACTGGCAAAGCCACTTTACACAACCTCTCCCCCAACCATGCCAGGGCCTCATATGTATCTTCTATTTGCAGTCTAAGAGGAGAACCTGGTAAATGCCTGGATGCCTGGTCCCATTAACTGAGCCAAAACTTTATGGCTGTCTAGGTCAGAGAAGCTGGTATTACTATTATTCTAAATGAATATTGTAATAAACTGCTCTCTAAGTTCTTATCTTTATGTGATCTCTCATCTCTTATTAGTTAAAGCTCCCTTTGCAGTAGACAGCAATTAATGCAGAGACATATAACCAGTCAATATGCACACGTGCGTGCGTGTGAGACAGAGAGAGAGAGAGAGAGAGAGAGAGAGAGAGGAATGATCAAATCTAAAGAAGACATCTCTATCAAATACCCCAAGCTCACCCATGGCACAGGGGACATGATGGCAGAGGGTGTGGAAATACTGTAAGAAGCAGACTCGGTAGATACCTGGCAAAAGAGCATTTGCCAGACAAGTTAGGGCCACTGCACGCATGGACTTGCAACAGCTGTGACTGAATGCACAGGACAACACCAGCCAAAACTCCCTGCATGGCTAGGGAGGAGCACATGGAGTCCCATCTATGAGGGGCTATTGGCAAATGATGGATCCTAGGGGGGGACAGTTCTCTTCATGGATGCCAGCACTGAGAGGCTACGCAGACGACGGTAGGTGCATGGCCAGACATCCACATAAATGCATGCAGAACTAAATGGACTCAGTGGGTGTTTAAAAAGAGCGAGAGATGAGGGAAAGAGAAAGAGAGAGCATACATGAAGTTGGAAGAAAAAAGTGATGAAACATTGGGGGGAATTTGGAGGGGAAGAATTGGGGGTTAGATTTTATCCAAATACATTATAGGTGTGTATGAATATTAAATATAGCATTTCTAAAAGAATGCTCGGTTGGGGGCTGGAGAGATGGCTCAGCGTTTAACAGCACTTGTTCTTTTGCAGATGAGCCAGGTTTCATTCCCAGCACCCTCACTGTGGCTCACAACTAGCTTAACTCCACTTTTGGGGGACCTATGATCTCTGCGAGCACCCAGGTACACAGACATATATGAAAACCCCATACACATAAAATAGTTTTTAAAAGAATACTCAATTGAAGAATAAATTTTCAGCTATAAAAAAGTAATGAATCCCTAAATCTACTCAGCTGATTACACATAAAGGAAAAAATCATGTAAACATAGGGGTGCAGCTCCTGTTAGGTCAATCATGCTCCAGCTTCTCCTCTAAGAAAACTCCAGCATTATATAATCATTCATTTGTATACAGCTATATCAACATATGTATCTACTATGCACAGCATGAGCACATATATGTATACATACACACACACACTCACATATATTGGTCTCACAGTGCTTTCTGGGATAGCATTAAGACACCTGGTGACTTGACACAGGTTGTTAAAAACAGTAAAATGTCAATCAAGATATCAAACCAATGTTGATTTATTTACTGAGATTTTGGTTTTGTGAACTTCACATGCAGCAAGAGCTCATTTTCCAAACTTCTAAAATAGTCCCTAAGATTGAAACCTTTCGAAGATGTGTACTTTCCTAATTTCACAATGTCTTTTAAACATACTTTTAGATCTAACAGTCTCATTTTGAGTATTAGTCTGTAGTATAGCACACTGCTGCCCTAGGGAGGCATCTATCCCTCTGTTAAACCTCCCTGAGATTTTATTTCACACTTTAACCTTGTGTCTATCCTACTCCTGGAGTTCATGTCCACAGAACTGAAGACTATCAGGAGAAACTAGATAATGAAATCCACTGATCATTAATTTAATTTCATACAATTTTTTGTTTAATTTTACATAATTCTATTTCAGGACATTAAAGGCAAACAAACAAACCAAAAAAACCAATTGGTTCTGACCTACTAAAAAACATAATACATGAAGCTAATGACAGCTATTTCCTTCTACTTTAATACTGATTTTTAGGTTTATGGATTTTTTCATCATTTATCAAGTTAATTTTTTAATTTTAATAATTATTGTTTATTCATTTTGTATCCCAGCTGTAGCCTCCTTCCCATCTTTTCCCAATCCCACCCTCACTCCCTCTTCTTCTCCTATGCCCCTCCCCTAGTCCAATGATAGGGGAGGAACTCCTCCCCTTCCATCTGACCCTAGTCTATCAGGTCTCATCAGGAGTGGCTGGCTGCATTGTGTTCCTCTGTGAACTGGTAAGGCTGCTCCCCGCTCAGGTGGAGGTGATCAAAGAGGCAGCCCATGAGTTCATGTCAGAGAAAGTCCCTGTTCCTATCACTGGGGAACCCTATTGGACACTGAGCTGCCATGGGCTATATCTGTGCAGGAGTTCTCGGTTATCTCCATGAATGGTCCTTGTTTGGAGTATCAGTCTCACAAGAGACCCCTGTGCCCAGATCTTTTGGTTCTGTTGCTCTCCTTGTGGAGCTCCTGTCCCCTCCAGGTCTTTCTGTCTCTGCCTTCTTTCATAAGGTTCCTTGCACTCTGCCCAAAGTCTGGCTATGAGTCTCAGCATATGTTTTGATATCCCGCTGGGTAGCGTCTTCCAGAGGCCCTGTCCTCTGATAGCCTGTGATAGGCTCCTGTCCTGTTCCGTGTTTTCTCCCTCTTCTGATGTCCAGCCCCTTTGCCTTTCTGATTGAAGGCTGAGCATCTTACCCAGGGTTCTCCTTCTTGATTAGCTTCTTTAGGTGAACAGATTGTAGTATTATTATCCTATATTATACATCTAATATTATAAATTTTTTAAGCTGCCCAAAAGACAAGTGCATATGAAAGACTCAAAAGCCTATAAACATTTTCTGATTTTATAAAAAGGTAAAATTACTATTAGATTAGAAAAAAAGAATCCTTCACATACAAAATAAAACAAAATTATAATATATATCTTATAAATACCAGAATTCTCTCACACGTGTCATGTGTCATCATGATACAGTATTGATGTCCTCACACTGCAATAATTTTTTAATAAATGAGATATCGTCTCTTATTTTTCTCCTGTCAATGATAAAGTTGTGTGAGATGTGAGAGAGGAAGAAGGTTAATTTAATGAAAATTTTTATTTTTCTATAAATCCTTAGTTTTGTTATGTGAAATTTCTGCTGATTTTCTGTTCCAAAATTTTATGCAGAAAAATTACAACATGATGTACAAAAGAGCCTTCAGGAGCTGGAGAGCTGGCTCAGTGGTGAAGAGCACTGGCTGCTCTTCCAGAGGACCTGGATTTGTTCCCAGCAGCCACAGGGTAATTTGCAACTATCTGTAATTCCACATCCACACCCTCTTCTGACCTGCCTAGGTGCCAGGCACTCATGGGGTGCAAGACATAGATGTGCGCAAAACACCCAGACAACTAAAATAAAACAAAAAAAGTTTTAAAGAAACTTTGGTCTGTATTTAGGATGGCTTAACAGGACCAGTACTACTTGTAGCTGTCACTCACTACATTGTACTGGTGCATTCTCTAACTGGGGAGAAGGAAGGCAGTTTATGATCTAAAACGGCATAGGTACAATGGCCTGCCCATCACATTCCTCCTCAAAAGAGAAGAAACACAAATTTCATCTCATGTGCTGATTCAGGACCATGTGAAAAATAAACAGAAAAGGTAAAAAAACAAAACAAAACAAAAAAAACCCAAAACCCAGGGTTTGGAAGGAGCTCCTAACTGAGCCATCATTTATGGGCACTCTGCAGTGCTGGAGAATGATCACAAACTGTGGGGAAAACACAGCTCTGGACCTAGAGAGCTGTATTCAATCTTTGCCCTGTCTCTTAGTAGCCCTACGTTCTCCTAAATGGATCTATTGACAGTCTCTCTCCATCTCAGGCCATCCTTAAAGCCAATTCTGATCATAGAGCTTTCTGCTTAAAGCCCATAGTAAAATAAAATCCTTAGTCAAAATCTCAGAAGGCTTACCTTCTGTTCTACATCTTTAATCTAATGCGGCTCCTTCCTTCCTCCTTCTTATGTTCCGGCTTGGCACTCTGTATTGATCCTATCCATGGGCTTCCAGAGGGCTAGATTTCTGCTCTTCCTTCACCTGCTGTTCTCTCTTTGTCCACCTGCACACCCATTACTGAGCAATTTCTGAACAAAAGGAATTTACTTCTCAAAGTCCTAGTGGACTGGAAGTCCAAGACCAAGGTGCCAGCGGGTCCTGCAGGGCTCTTGCCTCTGCTTCAAGTATTCATTTTGCTGCAGCATTCTCCAGAAGGCAGAAACACTGTGGCCTTGCAAGGAGCTCACTTGAGCATGTTTATCCTGTCGTTCTTGAGTGTAAAGCCCTCGTGGGCCAATCACTTCTAAATGCCCTACATCCTATATTACCTCCTTGGAAGTGACTCCAAAATACAGAGTTTGGACAGACACAAAATTTAAATTACGGCTTTTACACAGTAAATTTCAACGTATTCTTTGTGCCTAATAAAATGTCCTTATCACAATGAAGTTTCCCCTAAGGCAGTTAAGTTTTCCTTCCTTTGTGATCGAAAGGTACGTAACTTAAATTACTTATTATACCTCACTGAATTTACGTCTATCTTTCTAGCTCCTACCGCTTTTTCACAGCCTCTTATATGCTTCTCATTGATAGTCACACAACTCAAGCAGTGAGCATCTCTAAGGCTCTTTGGATCCCCACTATTTATTATATCAAGTATCTAGCAAATGTTTACCAAATAAAAATATGAATAAGTGAGTAAGTGAATGAATGAATGCCTTGATGGGAATCTGAATATCTAGGATGTAGAATGCTTGATGAATGAGACTCATGACAAGTCACAGGAAAAGGAAGGAGATGAGAGGATGGATGGGATTTCACACAGTGATAAAACATGTACTATATGTATTTGCTACTTAAGGATCTGAATGGCTATGAATAATAAATACACACATATTTATGGATACAGAGGTAAGTGCATTACATACCCTGGAGGATGACAGTACTCTTTCTAAGCCATTACTACTTTCATAGGTCAATATGGTTTTTGGCACGCACAATAAGGTAGGAAATGTGAGCTATGTATGTGTCAAAACAGTAAAACAAAGTATGGTTTAACCCAGTGAGCGGTATCAGCCCCACCCTGTGGCTCCGTGAATCATTTATCTCAATCCTACTTACTTAGAGGCTTACAGTTTTCATATATCTAAATAGCTCTTTCCAAGTGTATGTAATGGTTCAGATGCATAATAAAGCTGTACAACTCAGCTACTTCATTACTCAAAAGAAAATTAAAATGTTATTTGATGTTTTCCTGGAAAAAAAAAAAAAAGATGTAAAGCGGCTGGAAATTGGGATCATGAGAACTAAGCAATTAAAGGCAAATTTTTTAGAGTCCCTAAAGAGGAGGGACAGGGGTTCCAGGAAGAAGAGAATGCTGCAAAAAAACCCGGAACAAAATGGAATGACAGCAAGGAGAAGCACACTGCAAACAGACCTGGAACACATGGGAAGACACAGAGCAACCGGCAGTGCAAAAAGAGGCCAGGTCTTCAAGCACCAACACAAAACGGGATGTGGCAAAACTAACTTTTAAAATGCTGAGGCTGAAGGAACTAGTAGGCCGCAAGGCAGTTAAAGTGCAAATGCTAAGGATGGCAGCACCGTAAGGTCTAGCAAGAAGAACAGGAAGAGATTTACCACCTCAAAGATTCTAGCCAGAATTTCTTTATATGACATTGGCCTCTGGAGAAAAATATAAATTCAAACACCCCTTTGGGTATGAGGAAGACTTGCTGGCTTTGAGCTAACACTGACATCAGTAATCATGGACCCTCAAGACACAGAAATGGGAAACCTAACTGAATCAAAGTCACAAGTGTTTGAAACTCCCTTTTCTGAGTCTGGTGAAAAGGACTTTTTATTTTTTGACAAATGGTAATATTTTGATCAAATCTCATAATAGTTTAGAAAATCACATTTGAATAATGATAATTCACGCCGAGATCTGGGGTGATCGTGAGTGAACTTGGACACCAGGACCTCCTGCTCCAGCAGGAGGGGGAATGCATAGTTGTCAGCTGTGGCCACCTCACAGGTGCCATCACTACATGCGACACACTAGTGAAAGGACCAAAATGGCCACTGAAATATAAAGTCATTAACTTCACCAACCAAAAAGTGAGACGGTCAGTCTTCTAATAAACACTCTACAAACTACAAATAATACTAAATAAAACATAAATTTCCAAACCACACCCAGAAATAACAATTCTATGGGAAGATTATATTCAGTGGCAGTGGACTTTTGTCCCTTTTTCTTTTTTGCCTCCTTACAGCACCCATTTTAGAAGTGACTGTTACCTAGTATTTCATTTCTTCTTGTTTTCATTAAGGGCAGTACTAATTTTAGATATTTTTCACTAATGCTTTTTGTTTTGTGTAAACTACACACATACAAACTTGTGTATGTATGTGCATGAACACTTCACAAAAATGTATTAGTGCATATACACTGTATAAGACTATGATTCCATAATATATGTATATATATATATATATATATATATTTTAACCATGTATACCATGTTGGCTATTGCTTATCTCTACAAGCAGTGACTTCTATTTTAGAATACCCACCTTCTGATCTGCTTTCCCTTGGAAAAAAAGCACAACTAGGAATATATATTGCAGATATATATATCAGATTCACTTATTCAAATAAGAGCTCAAATTATGTGAACTAAGATGTGCATTAGTTAATAGATAAAATTGTAAAGTATGGATGTCAACACAGGGTCAGTAGTGGTAACAAACCTGAGCGGTAGACAAATCCCAGGCCTGCGTTTACCACTCTGTGAGTGGATGTTGTGCAAACAGCCTCTCAGCCCTTTGCTTTCCTAATGTTAAGATGAATGGGATAAAAAGCCTGGGCCGGTGGATATGCCCACACGAGACAGAGGGGCCAGCCCGCAGGGCTCTGCTGCCTGCGGATTTATATAGTAACGGCGATGGGAGGGGCAGGGACATTTTCTTCAGTGGTGTGTGCACTGGTAAGGTGCCCATGCTGCTGTAACCCCTAATGAAACTCACTGGGCCAAAGCGGGGGGAGACGTTGAAAGTAGAAGAGGGGCAATTAGGAAGGGAAGGGGAGGGGGAGAGGCACAGCAATGCCAAAGACCTCAGACCCATGGAAAATTGCCAAAACCATACCCAAGCCACAGGGGTTGTGGCAATTACATATAATTATTATATGCTAATAAAACATTATAAGCAAACTAATAGGCTAATCGTGAGCTACTTCAGAGAAGCGCTGAGTGTTAAACAAGCTATGTTAACTGGTTTGCTGAGGTAGAGAGACTGCTTAGACAGGGTCTGGCCTAGGGCAAACTCAATACATGACTGCTTTTGCTGTTGGCATTGGTAAAGAAAGTTCTTTATCTGTTCAATTATTTTACCTGAAAAAAAAAAGTTTTTTTCTGTCTTCAAAAATTTTTATCTCATGTCATCATGGTCCTCATTTTTCTCAAGTTCTACAACTGTAGCCCAGATAGCCAATATTTACTAAGGTGAAAAGCCATGTGACTGATATTATTTTACTTTCATTCATAATTCATAAAAATACAAGTGAGTTAGCTTTTAGGGAAGTCTGGAATTGATAATATTTGTCAAATAATGAAAGATAATTATCAATTAATTAGTCTTAAACTATAATTCTCAAAAATTCCCAGTTTTTTCTCTGTTTTTGTCTTTGGTTCACTCGGTAGGGAAGTGATCACAAACACACGGAACAGACCCTGATGTAAGTAAATACCAACATTACCTTTATCACTCCCGTAATAGTAGAACACCGTCTTGCTGAGAGCACACCAGCGCTTCTGCCATTCAAACCCCAGGAAGCTGTGGTCTGCAAACAGCGGGAGAAGCAGCAGGTTAGACAGTATGCATGACTTACATGAAGCCATTTCCTTACCACACGAGGGAAAGCTTGCTAATGTGATACCTGAGCTTCCTTTTACCTCTGACACTAATCTGTCAGGCAGCAGCAACAGCAACGGCTAAAGTCCAGTAAGGAGGGGGCCACCACACTTTAAGATGGTATCAGCTGCTTGGCCACTGAACTTCCCCTACATGGTCTCAAAAAGGCATCTGCATGCACATTCTTGATATAACTGATCCATGGGGTCTGATTCTCAAATCTGTCATAAAAGGGAAAGGGGACGGTTGATTTGGATCATTTCTACTACTCCTTTCAGCTCTATCTTTCAGCTTTAAAAGATTTTTTTTAAGAACAAGTGGAATGTGCTCCGGTGATCTGCATCAACAAGCTAAGCTACGCTGCAGGGCCCCCCCTGCCTTCGTTGCCGTGTCATACCGCCACCTCCAGACTTCGTTCCGGTTCTGTGCTGAAAGGAGACCACCTGGCCAAGTCCCAGCTCCCGAGGCCGATGGAGAGGGACACTGAATGAGTAACAGACAACCGCAGACGGGATGCCAGGCTCTTCTGAACCACAGCAGGCCTGTGTGTACTGGTCAGTGCAGAAGTCCACCTCGGTTAATGGTGAGAAACCCCAGCCTTGTGAACACCATCATGGCCTGAAGCTTTCCTAGAAGATGTAGTAGGATGCTGCTCCTGAGTTGCTTTTGAATATCCCAGGCTGCACTGGAAACCAATGCTTTGCTAGTAAAAACTATGTAAAGCTGAAAGTGGCATTTCATGACTGGATAAGGTCACCCACAGGTTCTTACATCCTGTACTGCCTAAAGAGAACATTGCTTCCATGGAACATGCCACATATCTGTTTTATCTTAGGATGGGGGGGAAAGTGGCTTTAGTGTTTTCATTAGCCCTACAGCTCACCTTTTCTGCGTTTTTCCAGGTAGCCGGCCTTTAGGACAAAAGGGAGGTCCTGGGCTGCAATCGGAGGGAACTGGTTTCCTGTGGAAAGTGAGAGAAAGAAGTGACAGTGGTAGTTCACTTCGGAAAGTGTGCTGACCTCATCTCATTACAGTCACTGTCAACCTTTAATTACGTAATTATTCAAATCAGTTCTGGCAACCTTGCTTCAAATCCATCCCATTGACTCCCTTCTCTCCTCTTGCAAATCTTGAATTACGAAAAGAGAGAAAAGCGTTCATGTTCCTAAATACAGACGTAGTATATGCTGCAGCTGGTTATCTCAAAGAGGCGATACTTTCAATATATATTCAATAAACACAAATGTAATAAACAAACACAAAAGACCCCAGATAGGGAGGTTAGGGATCTCACGTGAGCCACAGATGCGTCCTCGCCTTTCTGTTGGATCGGTGCCTCAACAATTTCAGTTCACATCAACTCTGACCCACCAAGTCAACGAAAGTGATTTCCCCCAAATCAAATACACTATTTGTCTTGGAGTCCATATCAGATATTCTCTCCCCTACCTGAATGCACAGAGAAACCTTCCATCGGGAGGGTGAGGCTGCTTTGTGTTTTAGGTTTTTATAACGCATTAAAGAGTCTAAGATCATGGAAAAGGAGCAGCATAAACAAACAGTGGATGTCTACCAAAAGCATAAAGATTAAGCTGCGAGTTAAGTCGGTTAGAAACACATGGTAATATGTGACAGGTTATTCAGTAACGTCACTGGTGTTCAAAGAAGTTTCCCCAGTTCTTTACAAGAGTGATAACTAAGTAGGTAGGTAGGAAGATAGATAACTTAAAAAAATACAGAAATTGTTTCTAAGTAGAAAACAAGTTGGGTCAACCATTAAATTAGTCAGGGTATTGTGGAATAACTGGGTCTCAAATGAGTACCACAATCATTGTACATCCACTAGGCAAAATAGACTACCTTAACACAGAATACAAATGCTCTCTGGGGCCACTGAGATGGCTCAGCAGGGAAAGGTGTTTGTTACCAAGCCTGATGACCTGTGTTCAAGTCCCAGGACACTGAAGGCGGAGGGAAAGAATGAACTCTTGTGGGTTGTCCTCTGACCTCCACATAGGTAATGTAGACAGACAGACAGACAGACACACACACACGCGCGCACACACACACACACACACACACAGAACGATAATTTAAATTTTCTCCAAATTTCAAGAGTAAATCAAATTATTCTGAAACAATACTTTTTAATTATTTTTTATTTTATGTGCCTGAGTATTCTGTCTCCATGTATGTCTTTGAACCACATGTGCACAATAGCACCGAAGGACAGCGCACAGAGTGGGGACCCCTAGAACTGAAGTTACATGTGATATGAGCCACCATGCGGGTCCTGGACCAGCAAGTGTGCTTACCTGCTGAGCCATCTCTCCAACCCTTGAAGTATTAACACTTTAACTGTACTGACCAGAAGCAGGTAGAGAAGAGATGGAAGAAAAGAGGGGGGAAGAAAAAGTAAGGAGAGAAACAAATTTGTTAAGGTGAATATAACATTTAACCTGAGTACTTGAAGAGAAATGTTGATTAACCTGATAAAGCACAATAAAATCTGTCATAAGCAACATTTACTCTGATTTCTTATTACCTCGTGTTTCTTAAATAAAATATTTTCTTTCCAGGGAGAGGAAAGAAAGTTCTTAACTGAAATTTCACTTTTATTGCTATCTGATCAATATCTAGGATTTAGTATCCATGTACACTTTTTATAAACAAAAATTCATCAGTAATAACGCTTTAAATATACCCTAAGCCCGAAGAAAAGCTTTATGATTTGTGTAGCATGATAAGCAGAGGTAATACTCTCTGAATGAAGTCTGTTATAATATGCAAAAGCAGTAATTTCCCCTTAAAAACTTGAATCCTTACATCATTTAGACCCCTCACAAGGTCAGCAGTATGTCATCAGCAAGACACAGATGAGACCAAAGGATAGTGGCTCTCCAGATACAGAAACGCTAACCGTCACGAGGGGGACGGGCAGCTGTACAGCTCTATACAGCAGGCAGCAAAAGAGGACACCTGCCTCACACCAGAACACCATCTCACTGCGAGAGGCTAACTTGGCAGCTACCTAGGTTAGGAGCTACTGTTATTTTTAAACTAGTTAAAATGATCTCCTTTTCTTAAGATAAAAGCAACAACAACAACAACAACAAAAAAAAAGAAATTATATCCTAACTAAGAACACAGAGAAAAAAATTAACTTGTAGGCTACTCCATTTATACACAGGAGATTGGTTAAAAGACTACAAGCTTTTGATAGTCTAAAGAAACTGGACTATTTTTAAATGATTATTTATTTATTATGACAATCCTACTATTATAAGGCAAAACAAACTATTAGACGTTGGAGCTAATACCCTGTTGCTGGACATGGTGACATGCTCCTGTAAGCCCAGCACGGTAACTATGCAAGGACTGGGCCCTCTTCCACACTGCAACCTGCAACCTTGATGTAAAGGCCATCGGAAAGGGAAGCAGTGGTATGTCAGGAGCACTCAAGACAGGGAACTGGCTTTGGGCTCCTTTACGCTAGTTCTAACGGCTTGTGAAAGTTTAAAAACTGCAGAGCCAGTGTACATGGGATGGTGATAAAGCTGAGGCCAGCAGCCTCAGAGCCGCAGGCCCCTTGCACCCTTCAGTACTGCCTACCTTCAACAAGATCAAAAGTCTATCCTGGATCACAGCATTTTTTTTTTAAAGCTTGAAAGATAAAATAAGAATCAACTGAAGTTCTAACTTCTTAGTTTTACAGTTAGCTTCCCACTTAGTCTCTTTTCTTGAATGAACAGGTATCAAGGGATCAGTGTGATTCAAAGACATTTTCACAACAGCCATCTCATTCATGTCCTTCTTCTTTTCTATGAGAAAGCTGGTGACCTATGTGGAATCCGAACCCTGTTTTACTATTTTACCACCAACAAGTCACTACAACATGCGCCTCACTGCTGAGTTTACAGCTGCTCAGTCTTGACTTCATGCGGAACCCTTGCTAGTTTCCGAGCCTCACCTTTGCCGACTACAGCCTTGTCTTCTTACTCGGCATTGTCATAGTCTGCGGCGTGAACACTAAGCCTTTCAGCTAGCATAGCCTTCCTACCACTTTCATACACTCAAAGTCCCTTCCTGTCTACACTGGAAAAGAAAGAAGATCGATCTATCTATCTATCTATCTATCTATCTATCTATCTATCTATCTATCTATCTATCTATCTATCTATCTATCTATTTTAGGCTGTTCTTTGCTCATGTGATCTTTCACTCTGAGTCAAAGCTTGGTCCAGTCAAATACTCCATCACCACAGGATGGGACTACTTCCATGAAATGAAAAGAGTGAAGAATAAACTCCTCAACAATCAATCAATCTCCCTGCCCTAACACTGACAGAGTACCTATGGGCTTATCCAAACCCTTACTAAAATATTTTTATTAATTCTTTGAGAATTTCATATTATATATATTTTTTAAATTAATTAATTAATTTATATTTAACACCCTCACATTTCCTTCCAGGTCCGCCTCCACCTCTTTTTTTTTTTAAGCATCAGGTCCAATTTGAGCTGCCCAAACACTCCTGGGTGTGGGACCTGCCCTGGATCATAGCTGGCCAACTGGGAGTCAGACCCTTAGAGAAAAAACTGACTCTTCCTATCCTAGAGGCTAGCAACTGTCAATAGCTCCTCAGCTAGGAGTGGGATTTTTGTGCCCACTTCCTCACCCAGTCCTCCATGGTAGGATTTTGTCTAACTTGAGCATGAAGGTTTTGGCATGCAGTCACAACTGTTGAGTTCATATATGCAACTGCCCTGTCATGTTTGCAAAACACTGTTTTGTTGTAGTTAAAAAAAAAAAAAAGGAAGAAGGAAGGAAGAAGGAAGAAAAGAAAATTATAGGTCAATATCTCTGATGAATATAGATGAAAAACTGTCAAATAAAGACTTAAACCTAATTCAAGAGCACATTACAAAGATTACCCACTCTGATCAAGTCAGCTTTAGCCAAGAGATGCAGGGAGGGTTCAATATATGTAAATCAATAGGTGTAATCCACAACATAAATAGATTCAGGGACAGAAAGTACATGATCACCTCATTGCATTCAAAACAGGCTTCTGATAAAAATCCAACATCTTTTTATGATAAAAGTCCCAGAGAATCTGGGGATACAGGGGACTTATCTCAACACGATAAGGACAATGCACAATAATCCCACAGCCAGCAACTTGCTAAACACAGAAAAACCTCACAGCATTCTCCCAACCAAAGTTTTAAGAGCCACGTCAACCTTCACCCATAAATTTTGTGGGTGTTTTTTTTTTTTTTTCTTGTTTTGAGACAACGTCTCACTACACAGCGCTGGCTAGCCTGGAATATGAGTTCACTGTGTAGACCAAGCCCACCTCTGCCTCATGAGCGCTGGAATTACAGGCATAAACTCCAACAACCTGTTTTGTTTTTTGATACAGGATTTTACTTCATGTCCTCAGCTGGTCTAGATTCAATGACTGTCTTTGAAATCATGGGAATCCTCCTGCCTCAGCCTCCATAGCACTAGAATTGCAAGCAGGAACAATTGTAACATACTTGGCTAGCCTGTTAAAACTTTGAAGCAAGTATCTGTTTCATATGAACAGATGAAAGCACATTTTCCTGAGACTGATCTAATGTCAAATCTTTTCAGTACAGTTATGTAACTGAAAGAATTATAAAGCATTTCTTGCCATGGAACAGGTAATACCAACTAAACCTTCAATATTAGAACAAATGCCGTTCGGCAGCGTTTTCCTAGGACCTGGAAATCAAAGCCTACCATGAGCTTACTTATGCTAACCTTGCCTTTAAAAGGAAAACCAGTTAGCGTGTGTGAGCCTGACCGGCAGGCCGCACTGAATGCGGAGTTCACGAAGAACTCTACAACAGCAGGCTGCAGTGCGCTCACAAGTCTGACCTTCTCACTAGACTTTTGGCGACGAGCCACAGGCAGTGCCTGGGATGTACTTC